CACAATTTCGACATCCGTAAATGCCTCAATTGAGTTTAAACGTACCGATGAAGGCAACGCTGAAGACTTTCGTTTAGCATTAACAAACGTATCAAACTGCCTCGGAACTTTTTGAAAATTAATATTTACTTCGGTTCAAATACATGGAAAAGAAATGACTTTTGAGAACATTTAAATTAGAACGGGTCACCACATATCGCGAAAAATTGAATTATATTTTTTGAGGTTTCTAAGTCTTTGCAGCGCATCAGTTAAGGAGGCCGGTTTAATTTTGGAGGAAGACTATCAGGAACGCTAGGGAAGTTCGGGAACGCTATTATATGCTAGGGAAGTAATATCATTTAAAATTGGTATTCCTTGTGCTCCTTTTTGCCAATTTTTGCAATTTTGTGCTTAACGCCCAGTGTTAAAAAAACAATTTAGCTTGTTTCAAGGCGCCCTTTACACTGGATCCAAAACATTTTTATAATTTCGAGTTACCCATAATGTGCGAGTTACCCAACATCACTTAAGTTTGAAAATTCGGTCGCAAATGCAAGCTAACCTCTTTCTCAGCTCCTACTCAGGTCAGTCTTACCCATAGGCCATTGGAGTTTAATTCATTTGAGTCAGATGGTTTCAAAAAAATATTTAGACTGACCGAAGTATCTTAAAGCTATCAGCTAAGCCGAAGTTGTTTAAAAAAACATTATTACACCCCATTTGCAGTTGTCGGTCTCTTATTTCCTCATGCCAACACGGATTTGTAAAACGTAGATCAACGACAATCAACCCTTTGGAGTTTAATTCATTTGTGTCAGATGGTTTCAAAAAAATCTTTAGACTGACGTGGCTTTCACTGATTTCAGTAAGCCTTTAATTCTATAAATGACTCGCTTATAGTTTCCTTTTGATCTTTTTAAAGTGGATCTCAAGTTATCTGAATAACAGGACACAAAGAGTCATTTCTAAGTTATTTGAATGACAGGACTCAAAGGGTCATTTTTAAAAACTCTTTTTCATCCCCAATCCAAGTAACTTTAGGTGCACCGCAAGGAAGTCACCTTGGTCCTTTTTAGATTATGCACTAATGATCTTCCTCTAGTCCTAACAAAGCCGGCCCACTCGCTTAACAATATGATCTTGATGCATTTCAAACTTGTTGCCACTACACCAATTATACTCTAAGACGTTGCGAATTAGACAGGATAACACACGTTGACTACCTTGGTGTCTATATGGATACCAAACTTTAAAGTTCTGACCACATTACTACCATGGTGAATAAAGACCAGTGGTGTGCTTGGATTTACCAAAGGGTGGTCGAAGGAACTATGACCCTATATCACAAAAACGTTGTTCGTCTCATTAGTCCAATCAATTCTCGAGTACTGCGGCTGGAGTCCCCAATACGTCTGGAGTCTACGGGGTACATTTAGACCAGATTGAAAAAACCCTCTTAATAGTTGGCTTTACGGGTCTTAACTGGGATACTTCGACTTGTATCCTAGTTTCTATCATTACTACCACCAGTTTTAAAGCTATCGGAATAAAAACTTCCCGAAACCATATTTCTACTGAAAATACTGCAGATTTCGTAGCAATATAATTTTCTTCATTTTTTAGAATTTCAATTTAAATTTATTTAAAAATCGGAAGACTATATCAAACAGCTGCCATAAGAACGTTTGGACAAATAAATCCGAGGCGAAATTTTTATACCCGTTACTCGTAGAGTAAAAGGGTATACTAGATTCGTCGGAAAGTATGTAACCGGCAGAAGGAAGCTTTTCCGACCACTAGCCGAGTCGATCTAGCCATGTCCGTCTGTCCGTCTGTCCGTCCGTCCGTCCGTCTGTCCGTCTGTCCGTATGAACGCTGAGATATCGGAAACTATACAAGCTACAATACTGGGATTAGGCATGCAGATTCCTGAGATTCCTGCGCAGCGCAATTTCAGCAGAGTGTCACGCCCACTCTAACGCCTACAAACCGCCCAAGACTGTTTCTCCTACAGTTTTAATGCTAGAATAAAAATTTTAACTGAAATGTATTGGTCTCGTCAATACCTATCGAATGATCCAAAAAATTTGCCACGCCCACTCTAGCGCCCATAACGCTTAAATTTGTCTACCGCCGGTAGGTGGCGCATTTAAATCTCGCTTTGCTGCTTGCATATCTCCATTTCCCTTTGGTCCCATTAGCTGAGTAACGGGTATCTGATAGTCGAGGTACTCGACTATAGCGTTCTTCCTTGTTTTTTCTCTTGGTGTGCAAAAAAAAAAAGAAGTCATTGGGTTCCAAGTAGGGCTGTACGGCGTATGGCTTAAGCTGATGTGTGAGAATTTTCGAATTTCTCCGAAGACTTCAAGCAAACAAATTACCACTCAGAACTGACCGTCCTACGTTGCTCAAGCGGAACAGTCGCAACATGACCACGCTCGATTGCTGTTTTGTTTCGCGCTCATAAGCTGTGACGAAACACCGCGATTGTATTTTTCCGAAATTTCTTTGCATTAATCCACTCGAGCCTTTTATTGAGTGATTTTTAAATAGTGTGGGATTCAACGAGAAACCATTTTTACGTCCAGGTGTTAATGCAATAGTGTATGCTGGTGAAAGAAATGGTTGCCTTTACCTCACGGTATGTCACATGACACATGCCATGATAGCAGCCCTCGTAAGAACATGTCTGGTTGTGTGCGAAGAAAGGTCCAAAGACCAAAGTTGGTTAGCTTATACCTTCTTTAGAAATATAACCAACTTATAGTGTCACGGCTCAGGATAATATGAAAGAGCGATCATAGCAATGAAAAAACGCGTTCCATGCGAAATAGCTGCCACTGCCCATGGGCCTTGTCTTTTAATTTGGTCCTTAACTTCTGCAGTATCTATAGTGGGAACTCGAAAGCAAGACCAGGTGGGGCTTATGTAACGGCAGTCCTTTGTCTTTCTAAGAGTCAGCAAAAACTACTTGCCAGCATTGATATTGAATTCTTCTCAATTAGAAATGGATTAAAAGACGCAGGACCCTCACAGATATCCACATTCATATCATAACCACAAAGGCCAGTGCAGGCAGTGTCTGTTCTGCTTGGTTAAACTTTTTTTGTATTGACTAGACTGTCTAGTTCTTGACTGTTAGGTAAATGCGTCGTAAAAAGTTTCTTGTAGTAACTCCAGTTAGTTCTTCGTGATGTTCTCAGCGGAATGGTAATCTTGAGATATTGTGCATATTGGTTAGAAGAGCAGTGTTTTGAGTTAGTCGAGCAGGGGTTCTGGGAGTAGGGCAGTTTCTAGTACTTCACCCTATATTTAGTGATGAAAGTTGGGATATTACCTTTATTGCCGATATATAGATTTTATTAAAGGAGGTTATCGTAAAAAACTCACACCTTTTGATCGTGTTTTTACTTCTCCATTGTGAGTGGTGAGAGATAGCCTATTTTTTAGTTCTTTAGATGAGTATGCGTGCATGAGTTCTACACGTTTAGGTATCGGCACATTGTGGTCGTGAGCCATGTTAATAGATGACATGGTGTAATGTATATGTCGGCTTAATTCAAGCCTGACCGAGCTAAACTGTAGGATACTATATGCGTCAATGCGTGTTTTAACTAGAACTAAAGTCATGGGTATACCCTTACCCTTGTGCGATGTGTGCGATTTGGGTGGGCGTGGCACTAGGATGAGCAAACATGGGATTCATAGGCACTACTAGAATCTTTATGCTAATTTAAACCAAGCTATCACTTTTTATATAAAAGTCATCTAGTAACAGTTATTTTGCTGACTTTTATTCATCAGTCAGAAATAGCTGTTATGGAAAGGCCTTTTACCTTATCTGAGACAAAATAACGGTTAAGAAAAGACATATTTTTATTACACAAAGAATAACTGTTATTAAAACCCTTTTAAAATAAAAGTATAACATATGAAGCACTCTGTTACTTTTTTTGTAAAGTCCCTAGAAGACTTTTATTTGTGAGCTTTACGATAAAAGCCTTTTTTAAATATCTTGCTTAATAATCTAAAGTAAAAATCGTTCTAACTGTTTCAGTGTTAATTTACTTGTTGTTTTTAGTTTCAGAACTACAGAAAAAGGGGTTTTCCATATATTATTTAATCATAGGTTTAAACATTTTGGTATTCCTATGTCTCTCCATTTATCAAACAAATTGCACCTTACCGTAATTGGTAAAGCTGGAATGCGACTGTCATTATATATTGTATTCATTAATTCATTCCTTTTATATTCTGTGGGAGATATATTAAAAGTTTTTGAATTAAAATTATATGTTGCGAGATATATAAAAGTTGCACGATACATTTTTGTTGCATGAATCAATAAGTGCATCAAAATAAACATTTCTGCGTTTTTCCAAAAATTATATATTTTATGCTTTATATTTAAATAAAAACAGAGACTGGGTCCCTGACTCTAACGCTTTTTCTTTCAAAATGTGGGCGCCACAGCTGTTTGCCATTGGCGCGAACAAAAGTATTGCTCTTAATCATACAACATTTTTGGATAACAGGGATGTTTGGATAACAAAATTGTGCTAAGTCGGAAGCTAAGGAATCTGATTGTTGGGGCGGGGTGGCTTGATCGATGAAAATAGGTGAAGCCCCAAGATCGAATGGTACCCAAAAAACACGGGAGTACTTTGGGGTCTTTACGCGACGTGCGTAGATGTTTATTTGTACACTTGGAAATAAGAAATGTTTAAGCCTAACTTAACTTAAGCGCTCCAGAGCAGAGCGGAGACTTAGGGGAGAGATGGAGAGGGAGAGCGGACGGCAGTGAGAGCTCGCGAAATGTAGACATCTGGATAAAACTGCCTCTCGACACTGCCTCCTGAAATTAAGCGCCCTTTTGACGTAAACACTGATCAATACATATATGTTATGTGATTTTAAGATTTATTTTCAAAAAATAATTTCATAGTTGCAACATTACTTTTAAAGTTTAACATTGATACAAATTGACCATTAACATTATAAATGTATTTTCCTTTTAGATTTGTGAATATGAACAATAGGCGATCAAGCAATATAATTGATCGCTTTAAAGTCAATACGAGCTTGGACACACTTCTTATATTTAATGAAGATTCAAAAAGTTACACAGCAAGTATTTGTATGGAGGAAATCCCAACTCAAACCTTAATAGATGTTGTTTCCGCTAATCAATTTTTGGTGCTACCCAGACTATCATCACAGGCCATATTAGAAAGTAAGTGTTTATAAAATCAGTATGTCAAAATTACACAATTTTCCACGATTTCCTTTTAATTTAAAAATTACACGAACCTTTTACGTTGGTCAATACTGAAATTTGAATTTCACGAGCAATTCTGTTACTGGCCTAACAATGAAAAGCATTTATAAATAAACCTAATCCATTTTAGCATGAATGTTATCCAAATATATCTTTTTTGGTTCGTTTCGACAGCAACTTTTAAATTACACGTGCCTCTGTGTTGTGTCGGATTTTTTCGAGTTTTTACGATGCCAACAGACGCCTTACAGTAACTAGATTGTTAAAAAATTACTCGCTTTCAAAGTTTGCCGGGATGACACTCAAAATGTACTTGATGTAGCCTATTCATTCGGAAAAATTTAAGGGTGACATTATAGTTATATAGTTATATAACAAGGGAGAACGCTATAGTCGAGTACCTCGACTATCTGATACCCGTTACTCAGCTAAAGGGACCAAAGGAAAATGGAGGTATGCAAGCAGCAAAGCGAGATTAAAATGCGCCACCTACCGGTGGTAGACAGATTTAAGCGTTATGGGTAGGTATTGACGAGACCAATACATTTCAGCTAACAGTTTTTATCTAGCATGAAAATTGTGGGCGTCACAGGTTTGGGCGGTTTGTGGGCGTTAGAGTGGGCGTGGCACTCTGCTGAAACAAATTTGCGCTGCGCAAGAAGCTCAGGAATCTGCACGCCAAATCTCAATAGCCTAGCTCTTATATATTCCGAGATCTCAGCGTTCATCCGGACAGACTGACAGACGGAAAGACGGACATGGCTAAATCGACTCGGCTAGTGATCCTGATCCTGACCGGAAACGCTTCCTTCTGCCTGTTACATACTTTCCGACGAATCTAGTGTACCCTTTTATATCACCTTAATTTGTTAGGCGCAACTCGAGATATAATTTAAAACTTGGAGATACGAAAAAAATGTTCTTAAAAAATCTTTAACAAAAACATTTATATAAAAATATTTTTGGCCTTTTTTTGTGATCTAGGGGCCAACTCAACCAGGAACTACCATCCTTTTCTTTGGGCATTTTCAAGACATTATTTTGTAAAGTAGTCATGTAAGCAAGTTTATCAAATATAAAAAATCAAGAAATTTTGTTGTCTTTGATCAATTTCTAACAAGACCATGCTGCGATGGGTTTATAAGGAAGAATTTTGTAGAAACTCTGAACTAAAAATATGTCATGTAACGAACTGACTTTCTTTGTTTGCTCACTACGAAACTCGTGCGGCTAGCTCAGTAGATTTGTGCGTCCGTCCCACCAAATTTATAATAAGCGTGACCGCCCGGAGACGTTTATTCTCGGTTCTGGGTTGCAAAGTTTATCTGTCTTGTGATGGTGTTTCTCGCGGCGGTCCTTCTTGTCGTCTCCCGCTCTCGGTGATCCAGGTACTTCTGCCGTCACTCGCGAAAGATGACGAAGAGTTGGGCTATCGGGCTTAGGGAATCGCCACCGTTTCCGGACTAGGGTGAACAGGCGCCAAGATCTCAAGACAAGCGCCTTGCCTGCACTTTTTGCGTCTTTTTGCAAAAATTAAATTTTTATGTAGCAACCTCACGATATGCACTGTGGCCCTGTTAGAAGTGTGGCGCAAGCAAACGTACGGCCGTGTCAAACAGTGTACCGAATTCGCTTTTATTTGTGAGCACGTCCTTGACAATACTCTTTAGATGAATGATACCCGGTTTAAGGGAGAAAGCTCTAGTGTTTTCCGTAAATTTTTCGATTTTTCAATTTTGCCAAAATCGCAATAGAAAAATGGACATCTTCACTATGGATGGGCAAGTTCGCTTGGTTTCAATTGGAAACGAAAGAAAATTAGATCCGAAAAGGTAATAAGATGGACGTCAAAAATTACATTTTCTTTAAAAGGCAGCCTTCTCTCTCTCGGTTTAGAAATATAATTCGAGGTTACTGGTACAAGCGGCAAGCAGAGCTGCTCTTAAGATTTCACCGTGCAAGGAAGCAAAGCAGAATTTGTGGTTTTACAGATGTGTTTTAAAGAGCAATGGACGGTAAATTTAAACAGGCACATTCAGAAACATAAGCGACTTCCCCGTCCACTTGAAGTTATAGCATTGCTCATGCGTCCTGAAACCTACGGAGGAATTTTTAGACGGTGCTGACTATAAGAAATAGGACGATAATGACTTCCTTTATAACGTTAAAATCAAAAATAAATCACATATTAAATAACAAAGAAAAAAAATTTGGGGGGTGTTTCGTTACTGCTATCCACTCTGTAGGGCTCAAAGAGTATCGCCACCTCAGAACCTAGTTCGCGCACCGTCTGCTTCAGGAGGTTCTGCGCGGCCCTGCAGTTGTTCAGGTTCAGCTGGATCAACTGCAGATCGGTCGAGGTTTCCCTGTCCCGCTCGTTGTGGCTGAGCAGAATCAGCTTCCTGCCGTGTGCCTGGTCTCCTTTCCTGCCGCAGAGCAGATGAAGCCTTTAAGGCCTTTGGCCACCTCGTGCAGTAGGTTGCCGTTAATGGTGCGGCGTACCTTGGCTACACAGCATCGCAGGTCCGACAACTGTTTGTCGTCCCTTCGAGTCACCATGGCTAGCACCTCGCTGTATGTTTTCCCGCTCGCCTGAACAACGGCCGCATCGGGTCTTGCGCGTCACGTGGCCCTCAGCTTTTTCTTGACCACCTCTCACCCGGCGACCGGAATTGCGGGGCTCACGATCTTACTGGCGCCAGCGTGCGTCGCCTCGCCTTCTTGTGGCCCTTTTGGGGGATTCCTACGGGTGCTCCTGGAAGTTTTGGCGCTTTTCTGCTGCGTTGGGTGCGTGGATGGTGGGGCTATCCTCCAGCCACAGTCGGCTGGCTTATCCTTCGCCATGGCTCCGTTTGCGATGCAGGCTCTTTTCTCCAGACAGGCGTTGTCTGCTGCTCCTAGTCGGCGCTTTGCAAGCTTCGAGTGCATTTCAAGCACACGATTGCAGCGTCTTGCAATCACGATTGCATCCTCCCTGATGTTGTCGTCCTTGCGGCCCTCTGTGTTCGCCTCTATGATGCTCGTGTGAAGCGGCTTCAAGAACCGTACAGCAGCCTTTCCAGTCCAAGACTCGGGGATACGTCCGAAAACATCGCCGGAACAGTGTCCTTGTGCGTACCTCTATTCCCGGAGTGTCTCACACTATACACAGTGCACTTTTTAGGTAACGACCGTCGCTACACTGATTTTAAACGAGTCAATTTTCGAGCACTCTCAACTATGCAACCGCTGGTCTGAGTCCAAGTACCATCATTGTTGGATGCGCTTTCCAGACAACCGTCGGGCGCCACAGACCATCAATACCATGTCAATATTGGCAGATTTCTCTTTCCGAGTCAATGACTGCGCTTTCCAGAAAACTGAAATCATATTACCCTCCGTAAGGGTATAAAAATGTTGCACACCGGTTTAGGCTTAAATAAAGTCGCTTAAATAACGCTTGAGCTCCACGGTCACCGAACTTTCTTGCGCAGTAAGATCAATTAAAGTCCAAATTTATTATTTTAATAAATATTTTACAATTTTTACCCTCAATTGTTTTACCCATACGAAAGACATCTAAAAATTGATTTTTTTGTTGATGTGCTGTTGGGAGCAAATATTTGCAGTATGTTTTAAAAACATTGTTGTGACTTTGAGCTTTGTCCATTCTGCAGCTGATCGACTTAAGGTTTATAGCTGGACAGGAAAACGAAGCAACAAAATCATCATAACATTAAGGAGCCATTATAAAAAAATCGTGAACCTGCTCCTCCAATGCTTTAACTAGATTTAATTATCCTTTTAGTTAAAAAGTTAAACTCCTTTGGGGCATCAATTTTTTCCCGTTTTTTCATTGGAGTTAATACCCAACATACAAACATTCTTTTGAAAAATTTTAAGCCTGTGGCTAGCGGATCCGTGCATTTACAATACTCCTGTTTGTGAGTGAACTTGGTACCAAGTAGTAAAACCAAAAGTTTATCAAAGTGATCTTTAAACCTCAAAAGATCCTTCATGGCATCATGTATGAAATTCTACCTGGTTCGAGCTGGTGTTTTTAGAGAGTATCCCACCAGGTTTTGGATGCACTCTGCATTTCTAGGGCAATCGCAATTGTTCCAAACTGGAAAGCACCTAAAAAAATGTAATGAAGTCTAATTATAGACAAAAAATACAAAACTTCATTATTTTAAACCTTTTAAACAGATTAGCATTCTCATCGCACACTATGCTGTCAGATGTAATGATCCTCATATAATCCGTGGTAGGATCTTTTCCTGGTCGACCAAATGTCAGCCGTGGAGCAAAAGTATGTCACAGATTCCAACACTTTTATCAATGTTTTTCGCCTTGGAACAGTTGTTGAATTGCTTTTAAAAAGAAAAGCACGAAAAGATGCATTTTCAATTATTGACAAAGACGAAAATGTTTCGACAACGAATTTTAAAGCAATCTCAACAAACTGTGATTGTCCTAATCCACCTTTTCTCGCCCCTTTACCCTGTTGCCTTTCGTGGAGAAATTCATCGTACTCTAGAACATGCTTATCCTGGAAAACAAAATTGGAGATAACCTTAAGTGCCCCTTGATTTTTTTCAGGTAGCTTTGACACACAGGCAAAACAAGATTGGCATCTCTCTCGCCTTAAAACTGAATAGCGAATGAGATGGGCAAGTTGTCTATGTTTTTTACCAATAAAATTGGTCATAGCTAAACTTGAATTAACGTCCCATTAGAGGAATTTTTTCTCAGACTATAAGATTCTACGTAAGTGCGAGCGAGACAGATATACAGGGGTGGTGAAAAGTATTTATGCAAAACAAAAGTTAAATATACTCATAATTTGCACTAAGGTTAGGTTAGGTAGGAGTGGTTGGGGATTAGATACTAATCCCCACATTTAGGCCACACTGGGCCCCTTTTGAGCTCATGGGTATTTGCTTTCGCGAAGTATTTTGTTCTTCTTAGGAAAC